GCAGTGGACTTGTGAAGGGCTGTAATGATGATGATGATGATAGGTATGTAAAGTCGGTCATTCCGCGTTGGAGTCAACTTAATCAACTATTTTTTGACCTAAAACTCGCTGTGGTCTTTGCCCAGTAGTGGGATGTATGATATATGTACTACTAGCTACTTTTTTACTTTTAATGGGACTTTTCATTGCTGATCATAGGCTTCCCCCATTGCCTGTGTGAAGTAGACCGGGTACTTGCAGTAGTATTCACGCTTGGCAAGCGGGTTGGCAGCCACCGATCTTTATTACTTTGCGCTGTTATCGAGAAGATGCTGCCCATCTCCTGTTTCAGTTTCCGTCTGTCTCGTAACACTCCCGCAGGACGAAATGGGGCAGTGGTTTCTTTTGGCCACCTCTACATGGCTAATATATTATTTCTAGTTCCGTGCATCAACTGGATTTCCTCCACAAACTGCCATAAAGTTGGATATTTGCCACAGTTGCCACGCTTGTCATGCGAGTTGCTAACTGCAATTTTTATTATTATTATAATTTATTATTTTTATAATTATTATTATTATAAGCCGTGATCAGGAAACGCTGCTGCCCGTCTCATGCAGACTCCTACTGCTGTTCATGGATTTAGTTCTGCTCACACGTTCTCCGTGAATAGAACTACATTTATAAAATTATGAAATCTACTCGAACGTAAAAAAATACTGCCTATGTATGTGGTGGTAATCAATATTCAATGGGACCAATATTAATAAAGATCATGAAATAAAACCTTATTGTATCAAATCTATATTAATTTTAATCATGAATATTATGTGAATAGCACATTTCCGATTCCAGGACAATTTTCCCTTCTTAAAGACACATCGGAAAACGTGCCCGATATAAAAAAGGTTTGCTTGACGTATAATATTTATGCGATTCTGATAAACTAACTTATATGTGTTTCTGTAGCCTATAATATTGCCAACAGAGACACAGATACCGACGTGTCTCACAAGTGATCCAGTTTTGCTAATTAAGTACGAAATAGTATTATCGATGTTTCTGAAAACAAGACCACGTGAGCGAAGCCGCGGGTAAAAAGCTAGTAAGGTAATAAGTAATAATAATAATAATATCGTCCAGACTGGATTTTCGTCACAGCGGCCAGCTTCAACGGAGACTAGCCATCGGCGCAGGACAGGATTATAGTACCCAAGTGTATGCACAAGCACAGGTGTGCACTATCTATTCCTTCGCTCTCGTAATCCGATGGGACGGTAAACCGACACGACCGAAGAGAGATCAGGCGCAGGACCAACGGCTTTACGTACTTTCCGAGGCACGTGGGTGTGACACCGCCATCTTCCTGATTCCGGGCAGCTACTGAGAATTTCTTGACAGAAAAACTCAATAATTGATTTTTTGGCCCGACCTGGGATTCGAACCCAGGACCTCATGATCAGCAGTCACACTACTACAACCACTAAACTAATGAGGAGTAGGTAATAAGTATACGTATAAGCTAGCGATTAGCGTTCGAAATCAATTGGCCCTGTGCCAGGCTTTCGCTACTTTCTTTTCTCATAAATCTTCGGGCCATTTAGCTTCATACTGCGTATCCTACACTATTAAACGAGTAATTCTTGTATATATATATATATATATATATATATATATATATATATATATATATATATATATATATATATATATATATATATACAAGAATTACTCGTTTAATAACGATATTGTAGCAGTTTTTCATTGCCTAAAAACACGAACAAAAAGACATTTTCTAAAAATAAATTCTAGCTAGATCGATTTATTATCCCAGAAACTCCCTGGACACTAAATTTTATGAAAATCGTTGCAGCCGTTTCCTAGATCCCGATTATATATATATATATATATATATATATATATATATATATATATATATATATTAGAATAAGAAGGTAAATTTTGACAGATTGTTAATGATTATAAATACCTTAATTGGTATAATTGACGGTCACAGAATCGTAAAACCCCGGTTCGAGCCCGGACCGACCGACCGACATTTTTAATTTTTTTTTTCAAGTTCCTTTCTTTTTTGAGAAAATCTATTTTTTCGAGCCCTTTTCTTAGTATTTTTTAAAAACACGAAAATTTAAATTAAAATAATTGCACTCATGATTTTTTATTCAAATAACCAGTTCCATTTTTTCTGTTATGTCGCTAAGATCAAAAAATATTATTTATATTTCATCAGTATGTAATTTGTATCTAAATATAATCAAAGCTCGGTCAACCGGGTACTTTTAATTATGCAACTAAAGGTTCACATATGTGGCTGTTTGTTTTCGTTAGCCATAGCTCCGTTGTTTCATTTAATAAATAGTTGTCACGCAGATATAAAGAATACTAAAACACTGCAATTGATTTTTAATAAAATCTCACAACTATATCAAAAATTCCCCTCCATCGTCCCGTCCATAATCCCCTCATCATACAAAAATATATTATATTTATAAATGCCGTTGACGGTATATAATATTATGGATCAACAATTGTTGATATAAGAATCAATATATATATATATTGATAGAAGTGTTTGTACAGTAGGGCTACGATGGCTATCCGAGTACAGAATCAGAGCTCGACACCTATCCAACTGCAGAGAGGTGTAAGACAGGGTGACGTTATATCCCCGAAACTCTTCACCGCTGCTTTGGAAGACGTTTTCAAGCTACTGGACTGGAAAGGATACGGTATTAACATCAATGGCGAGTACATCACTCACCTTCGATTTGCCGACGATATAGTCCTTATGGCAGAATCGCTGGAGGACTTAAGCACTATTCTCAATGACCTCAATAGTGCCTCCCAACGGATAGGTCTTAAGATGAACATGGACAAAACAAAGATCATGTTTAATGTCCATGTCACACCTATGCCGGTAATTGTTGGGAGCACTATGCTCGAAGTTGTTGATGAGTACGTTTACCTGGGACAAATAGTCCGACTAGGTAAGTCCAACTTCGACCGAGAGGTCAATCGACGGATTCAACTCGTGGGCAGCGTTCGGGAAATTACGACACATCTTCTCGTCAGGTATACCTCAATCTCTGAAAACTAAAGTGTACAACCAGTGCGTGTTGCCAGTGATGACTTACGGGTCGGAGACGTGGTCCTTCACTGCTGGCCGTGTGAGCACGCTCAAGGTTGCTCTGAGAGGGCTATGCTCGGAGTTTCTCTGCGTGATAGACTCAGAAATGAGGATATCCGCCGTAAAACCAGAGTGACCGACATAGCCCAACGGATTAGTAAGCTGAAGTGGCAATGGGCCGGCCATATAGCTCGAAGAACCGATAACCGATGGGGAAGAAAGGTTCTAGAGTGGCAGCCTCGTACCAGTAGGTGTAGTGTAGGGCGACCCCCCCACTAGATGGAGTGACGACCTGCTAAGATATGCAGGAAGTCGATGGATGCAGGAGGCTCAGGACCGTGCTTTGTTGCATTTCTTGGGGGAGGCCTATGTTCAGCAGTGGACTTGTGAAGGGCTGTGATGATGATGATGATTGATATATATATATATATATATATATATATATATATATATATATATATATATATATATATATATTTATATATTTAATTCTTATATCATAATGAATAATAATATATATAATAATGAATAATAATCAATAAGTATTTTAAATATATTTTAAAAGGTGCAAATAAGGTATAAAGTTTCTTTTTTTTGTTCATTACTGATTCGAATTAGAATAAAATATTACTGTAGCAGCCAGACTAATCAACCCTAAACGGGAATAAATAATATATACTCTGCTGCTACCATAACGCGGAAGGCGAGGATAAAAAACATTTATTTCCTAACTATCCTTGGCTACTGAGATACTGCGGACTGCATATAGATAATTTGACGTTCTTATAAAGAAACAAGAAGCAGCCGCAAATATCATTCAGCGCCACATCGACTTCACACGCCGCTATCGTCACGTATCCGTCGACCAATGGTGAGCCGTTTCTTCAACGCCGCAGTTCGCTTCTTCTCGCCGTTCCGGAGCTGTATTCCACGCCGCCGCCGCTCACCGACTACGCGCGCGCATTTTTTTTTTGCGCCCGAAGCAATTAAAGGGCTACCCTATACGTAGGGAGGCGGAAAATGCATTACGCATACCACGATAGCCGGTCTATCGTGGTTATGAGGGGCTCACTGTCCTACCGGGGACCCTAAGTGATACCCTCTAAAAACCGCCTTTGGGGAAAGGCAGCCGCCGATCTGCATGTCTTTTATAGCCCAGTCCAGCGACGTAGCTTCGTGAACAAGAAAACAAGTCTCACGCCGGGAAACGAAACGTAGATAATAGTTGTATATTTTGAATAATTTTCATTGGTCATAATATAAGCATTATAATTGGCTAGATAAAATAAAAATTGTTACCATTGGCAAATCAATTGTGAGCCAGCCATATAAATATAGGCAAGGTTGATGCAAATATATTCCATTCCACATTCTAGTCCATATTCATACTCCATTCGGCTTTTAAACAGTAGTTTCATTTCTCCACCTTAAAACCACTCGGAGTCTGTTAATAGTGGACCGTCCATCTCCACTATTACATTACTAAATATGTATCTCAAGCCGTTTCTTGTAACTTGTTGAGCGTAGTTCAACTTTATATCTGTGATTTTATCTCTCTGTGACGCTGTGTCTGTTTTTAACTGTATTTGTATGTACCCCCAACTTCTGTTTCTCCAGATATTAATCTCCAGATATTATAACTTATAAATTTTTATGTTTTCATGATAAGAGAATTATGTTTCCTTAATGAGAATAAAGTTCTTAAACCATAAACCATATCAACAAATGTTCATAGGTACACATTTATAAAAGAGGGTATTTTGAAAATAATTTCAAACATATCACTTACAAACTGTTTCGATTAGTATGCAAACTATTGTTGAGGATTCAACAACGTGTCTGAATTACTATTGATCAGGAACAAATTATTAATATGGACGGATTTTCTTTAGGGAAAAATACAGTAAGTACATTTTGTAAAATATCAATTTGTATTGCAAACGAAATTTTTATAAAATATTTTTAAAGTAGTAGACTGAACTTTGTAAAAACTCATTTGATATCTTAAATCTTGATATCTTTAAAAATAATTGTTTATTTGACATATTGTTTGAGAGAAACTCTTACACTTTTTCTCTTCTATGCACTTCTTAGAGTGATGTGGTTTATCATTAGGTATTAATAATATTATATTTGGTAATATTATTTTTTTAATAAATATACAAATAACTATGTAATCCAAAAAAAAAAACTTATAAATTAAATATAAATTCTGTTATATGAAAAGGCAAAAAAATAAAATAAAAAGACATCTACATCTAGCCTCGATTACGAATCAAAATGCAGATGCGTTGTCATCCGTGACTTAGGTGGAACGCTTCGTTTCCAGTAAAAAAGGTCTCCAGTTCTCTACACTCATTATTAGTATTCTGTGAGAGCGTGGTCCTTCTCCGGTTGAGCCGACCCATTCGTGCTACAACTATACTACTAATATGAAACACACAATTATTTAACAATTATTTACTAATTATCATAGTTTTAATTAATTTAGATCTAGGTGAATACTTTACTATGACATTTTACTTTGCAAACTTATTTATTACTTTTCGCATTCATTATTCAGTATATCATTCATCATCAGTAGTATCATTGCTGTTTTTGTTCTACCGTAATGTGCTACGCACGCGACCTTGACAAACTCGACACACATACACACACACACACACACACACACACACACACACACACACACACACAAGTCATAGTAACATTCTCGTAGGAATAGTCTATTTATAGTAGTCTAATAGTCTAAAACTGGGGTGAAACCAATAACTTCCCGATTTTTTTAAATCGATGATTTTCGTAATGACTGTATAAGGCATCTTCTATATACAGTCATCATACACAGAAATATATTATATAACAACGGCATAATTTAATAACGTGCCGGAATAGTAGATAAGGTTCTACGATAAAAAAACATATGTTATAATTCTGATAATGTATATTCTTTAGATTAATTTATACTTACTTCTAAACTTCTTACACTCAGACAAATACATTGTTATAACTTATTGCTGTCATACTACTAAAGAACGATGTAACAAGATTCAACGTAAAAGGAAATAAACCACAAATATCTTTGTAATTTGTATTACAGCAAACAAAATCCAATATCTTAATCATTACTGCTATTTTTTATAGGATAGGGTGACAAACGAGCACACAGTTCACCTGATGGTAAGTGGTTGCTGTGGCCCATAGATATCTACATCTATGCTCGATTACGAATCAAAATGCAGATGCGTTGTCATCCGTGAGGACTAAGATGGAATGCCCCGTTTCCAGTAAAAAGGGTCTTCGGTTCTTTACACTCACCATACGAAACACAGCAGCATTAAGCTACTATTTTACGCTGGTATTCTGTGAGAGCGTGGTCCTTCCCCGGTCGAGCCGACGCATTCGTGCTACAACTATACTACTAATATAACTGCAGCATGGCTTTATCACGTATAATTAAATTGACCTTTTTAAACTTAGAAAAATAGAAACTAAAAGCTGCAAATGTTTAACAAATATTATACAATCGCACAGCTAATATTCTGTTTCCATTTTATTATTTGTATTCAATATTTATCACAGTAATAAAAAAGTAAAAACTAAATTTATCGAACAGCCCTACTTCCCGCGGTATAGTTTTATGAACGCTAGCTGCATTGGCGTCTGAGCGAGAAAACAACCAGCCCTCTTGGCTGGACCTCAAATATCCGATACCTACATCATACATTATATATACCCACTGACTACGCACCCGGGCTTTTTCTAGAGAAGATCTATTAATGTGGCGTTATTTAAACTTAAGATAATGAAATACCATTTATTTATCAATCTATTATCAATTTTTCGTTTCTCATTAAAACAAATCAAACTATTTCGGATAAGATATAGCCTTGATCACTCCTGGAATTGCTCTCCATCTGTATGTCAAATTTCATTACAATCCCGGACCATTAGGCAGACAGACAGACAAAATTAACAAAAAAGATTATTTTTGTGTTAATAGTGTGCAAATTATCCCCTCAGCTCGATGAAAGTTAGTTATTTCGATATTACAGATATACACTTCAATTTTATTTATATTATGTATAGACGGCTCCGTGGCGCAGTGGCTTTGCGATGACTGGCTGCGCCGGGGGCCGCAGATTCGAATCCCGCACAAAACAAGTATTTGTATGGCCTACAAATAGTTGTTCCGGGTCTGGATGTTTGTCCTTGTGAAAGTTATGTTTGTAAACTGCCTCCACGATACAGGAGAAAATACCAGTGTTGGAGTAACGTTTAAAAAAAAGAAGAAAATAAAATATATGTATAGATAAAATGCACGTAAAAACCTTTTTTTATAACAAATTCTATGTTGGACTAATTAAAATAACTGTAAGCATAGAACTAGTATTAGATTTTTAATTAATATTTTTTGTAATTAGTTACGGTAAAAACAATTTTTTTCTTCTTTAACAAACTATGTAGATAATATCCCTAATTACAATACAACGTAACATTGCATCAACCCTTTTGTCATACATAATTATTTTTACATATCCACTCCGGGTTAATGAGACTGAGCGAACGCAAGGTAAAGGTATATATATATATATATATATATATATATATATATATATATATATATATATAATAATAACTAATAATTATTTCATCCAACGCGTTGCAAGCATTGAAATATTACTAATAATATAGTTCGATGGTTGCAAGTCATCAATTCCTTAAGCGTTGACGTGCCCGGTAATGTGGTTGTAATAATTATGTAGAAGCCGTGGTAGCTCAGGGGGTTATCGCTCGCCGTAAATTCACAATACGCAATCAACCCTGGTTTGATCCCCGCCGGCACCAGTGAAATTGTTAATTACAATTTTATGTGTGTTATCACGTGATTTGTGGTGAAGAAAAACATCGCGAGGAAACTTGCATGTCTGAGAAATAAAAAAATAAAATATATTTGTAAGACACCTGAAGTTCGTCAACACGCATTGGGGCAGCGCTTCGCCTAAAAACTATGGAGTGTTACTTCTACACTCCATACTAAAAACGCTCTCAGAAGTGAGAGGCTGTGCCCTGTGCCTAGCAGTAGGACGTATATAGGCAGTAAATTTAACCAACTTTAATAACGTGGGAAAAAGTATTCTCTAGTAATCTTTACTCAATAACAATACATGTTAAGACATGTTTAACCTTGCTGTGTAGAGGTAGTTTACTTAAATTTATCTTAGAGTTTCATAAGCGACGACTATGGGAAAGGCCAAAAAATCCAACGATCTCAAGATAGTCATCCCTTACAGTCCCACTAAAATATTTTAATGTCAAACTTTGTTTGGATGTTCGTGGCTCAATCATATAGAAACTACTGAACGGATTTTGATGAAACTTGATAATAACATATATAACATACCATAGTCGCATATAAGGTACATTATGTAAATATCAATAGAAAAATTTTGTGACAAAAAATATAAAAGAAATCAGTATAATATACGATTGTAATAAGGATTGTTACTATCGTATATGTAACTTTAAAACATCACAAGTCTAATCAAATTCAATTATGTTTTACAGGTTAACACACACAGACAGAGATTGGATAGGTTCGTGCCATCACGCGAGTTTATTGAAGAGATGCGCAGGCGCAAATCGTGGCCTGTGACCAATGACAACGTCGATGTTTTTGTAATATATTTTTTATTTGTTATTAACACCTATAAAAGGTCAAGTGCTCAAAAAATCAAATCTAAAATCTTTATTTTGGCTCCAGTAATAGTTAAAATTAAATACACTGTTGGAACACTTCTTTTAAGTTAGGAAACTTGTGTTAGGAGGCTCCGCTCTTCCCGTCTTTCATTTATATTAATTAGTGTTTAGAACTAGGGTAACACATATATTTTTGACTTATATTAATACTTATATTAAAACTTACAATATTTTTAAAATAAAATATAAAACATCTGTAGGTGCTAGTTGTGCGATTGTGTTGTGTACTTGTATGTGGTGTGTGCATGTTGAGGTGTGGTATATTTAGTAAATTATTGATTATAAATAACAAGCTAAATAATTATTTCTGGAAGTGTTTCGGTTTCGTTGCAATTTAAAGTTCTGAACATGAACAGGTTTGAAGTTGATTCTTCTTTTAAATACTGCTAGTATTAATAATGGTATTAACATTACTAATATTCCCTATATCCACTCGAATCACGACAATAGTCGAATGGCGGATTCGAACCCACGACATTTTAAATTCTCGTTCTGCACCCTCCATTAGGTTACTGTTGTTTCTAAATATATATGTTCCTTATACATTTAATCGTTATTATTTATAGAAGCTTTCACGACCTCCATCTGTTACTGCGAAAAGTTTATGTCATGTTTGTACCGAAATTACGTCTAGACAATTGAGTATAGGTACAATATGTGTAAGTTATATTTATTTTACCTGCCCTAACGACATTGCGCTTGATGAAATGGCGTGTAATGAACGCACTGCCGCACATCATCAAATTACAACAACCAGAGATAAATGAGAAACCGAAGACGGGCAGCAGCATCTTCCTAATAACAAAACTGTGGTCGACGACCCGTACCCGATGCAACCTGAGGAGGTGGCCCAGGTTCAGCCGGAGAACGTCGATAGGCCGTAATATATTCTTGTGTTAAAGTATATAATGATGAATAAGTACTTACTTATAATACACAACCGTATCTTTTCAGTGTCCAAAATACATGCAACAGAAGAAATTCGCAATGCGTTTAGACGAAGCGTTTGGGCTGAAAGCGCCATATAATAAAAACCTGCAAGGGCAACAACACTCAGCGCAAAAGAAGGAGGAGGCTTACTTGCAACCCTGGCCTTGTATACCACGAGATAGAAAATTTCTGTCATTATCAGACAACATCTTAACTTTACCCGGCTACGGCGACGCCGCTTGTAAGTTACCATATAAAAATTAAATTTTAATAATTTATGATCACAGTATTAGAAACCAGAACCAAACGGTTTGCTTCATCATATGTACTGCGTACAACAAAGGAGTGGAACAACTTGCCGACGCCGGTCTTCTCGTCCGAATACAATCTGGGCAACTTCAAGACAAAAGTGAATAGGAGGCTTTTGTTACGCTAAGACAGTGCGATTTACCGTCGGCTTCATCACCACTTACCACCAGGTGTGGTCGTGACCAAGCACTGGCTTATGATAGTGTTACGAGCTTAGGGTTCGTGACAATAAAAACTGCTCATTGAATTACCAAAATCGACACATTAATTATCGAACAACAATTAAAATTATTTAAAACAAACTAATAATTAATCAGACTTAATACTTGGTTCGCAATTATATCGCCTCGAAATATTCACTTGTATCGCCAATTCAATGCTGCCTCGATCGCGGTCCTTAACGCCTTTATAAAGGACCTTTTCTACTGAAACATCCAGAATGCTCGAACACATACCGGTCCCGATCGACCAGAGGTAGAAGGTTCCGACACTCGATACTAGATGGCGCTAGTGGGAGAGTTCTAGCATGAAACTTTCTAGAAAGCTCTCCTCGATCTACTACCCAACACTACATGCCGATAGCGGCATTAATTATGGCTTGCAACAATAGGTAAAATGATAATAATAGAATTGTGATAGTTCATACTAAAGTGCTCATAATAAGCGGAATGTGATTATTTTATTTTATTTATTTATTTTATTTATTAATTTATTTCAATCAACAATCCTTGTTCATATGGTAAAAAAATATGGTAAAATCCATAGGGTAAAATAACATACATTAACATTTATTCTAATACTAAAATTATAAATCATTACTAATATTAATTAAATCAAATGCGTAAGTATTTATAATAATATCGAAAATAAAATAATAATTTAATAATAATAAAATAACATAAATCTATTTCACCGTTACACATACATCATATCCGATTTAATTATATATTAACAAAACCACCAACAAAACTTACCATAATGATATAATACAATATTTTTTTAAAAATACAAAGAAAAAGTCTTAAATATATGTAAGTAAAATTAGGTAATAAATTAGTTCATATACCTGGGTACATGGACATGAATCCAGTGCCTCAAAAAAGCACTCACTAATTACGTTAATATTGCTGTTGGCGCTCCCACGAACCCTGTGCATCAGTGACGCAGTTCTTTTGCGAATGTTGAAAAATTGTCTACGTGGGCGTCTACAAACATACCTGATGCACTACAGTAACGTCTCCCACGTTACTGAAGTGCAACAATCTAAAAGCGTTATTATATTGTGTACGTAGGGTGTTGTATGCCCGCCGCATATATCTGACCCATAAGGCACACGTATAGAGAGATTGGCAATAGGCCTTAAATAAAATAACTTTTACCTCGGCTGTACAGCGTGAGAACCGACGGGCCAGCATATTGCAGCGGACAGCCAGCGCTCTCCTTTCTCTTTCAATGTCTTTATCATCTTTTAAATCTTCTGTAACAACATGGCCTAGGTACTTAAATTCAGTTACTCGTTTAAGTGCAACACCCCCTAAAGTTACAGGTGGTACGAAATTCGATTTCTTCGTGCCCACCTTAAACACCATGAGCTCACTCTTCGCAACATTATATTTTAGACCGTGGGCTTCTGCATAAACCTCGTGTATGAACAAAAGCCGTCTGAGTGCAGTGACTGACGGGCTCAGAAGCACCATGTCGTCTGCGTAACTGATGTTGTTCATGCAGAGTCCATCAATAGAGCAGCCGACACGTGCACTCCCGAGTCTATCAATCACTTCATTTATATATAAATTAAAAAGCGTAGGTGAGGTTAATCCCCCTTGTCTCACACCGCATTCCAATCTGTACTCGTCCGACAGTGCACTAGACCACCTTACCTGATTAATTTGATGATCGTACCAATAGCTAAAAATACTAATGTACGAGACGGGTAGACCAGCCTTTCGCAATTTATCCCACAGAATGTCATACCTGACAAGGTCGAAAGCCTTTGAAAGATCCAGGAAGGCTGCGTATACTGGCGTATTCCTTACAGTGTAATACCCCACAGTGTGCTTCAGCGACACACTGCACACTCAGTTGATGGATTTGGTCTAAAACCAAATTGTGCATCGTTTAACTTAATATGTACTTTTAACTGTCTCTCAAGCATACTGTCAAGTATCTTAGCCGCAGTTGTCGCTAATGAAATGGGCCGATAGTTGTACATATCTGAAATATCTCCAGTTTTGTTTTTCAAAATCCGAACTACGACCGTTCTCATCAGCTCTTCCGGCAAATACGAGTGTCTCATACATAGGGTGAAAAAGAGCGCCAGTAGTCTAGGTAAGTGCGGACCAGCGAACTGAAAGTGCTCGATGCTAAGGCAATCGTGACCAGGTGACTTTCCTCCAGTCATGCCATTTATCAAAACAGCGATGTCCCTGGCGGTGATGCGATCGGGCACATGAGTTGATGCACCAGTGTGTCGACTTTAACATGTGACTGTAAAGAAGACTGAACCCGGAACTGACTCTTAAAAAGATTGGCTATCTTCGCCGGTTCATTTACACCCCCAACGCTCACCGGGGTACCTGCTCTAGGACTCAACTGCTTAGTATGCTTCCAAAACCTACGAAAATCTTTATTCCTATGTTGATACGCTAGTTTATTCATCTTGATCTGGTCTTGATTATTTTGACAAAACTTAAGTTTTCGTTTAAATACTCTTTTAGATTCCATCATATCATTATAAATATACCCACCACGCGGTTTCCCATGCCAAATCCAATTTAGGAATTTTTGTCGAGCATCCCGGTGAGCATCGCGCATGTGGCAGTTCCACCCTGGTATAGGTCGACCACGCCTTTTGACTATCTCCCACTCGCGATCACTATCGTAACTGTACTTAGAGGCCTCACACAAAGTATTAACAATGGATGTCAATTGTTAATACTTTGTGTATAATTTATCTATTACAGATCTATGTGCTAAAACATCACACATACTATCACAACACTGACTTAGTTCATACGGGAAATCGATTTCTCTTAATTTGTCGTTACAATATTTGCTATATATGTCAATTTGGTTTAAATTACGCTCACCCCATTTTACTTGACAATGACCTACGCCTAACCACTGTGAGATCACACTGCACCTCTAATGGGAAATGGTCTGACCAATAAACGTCATTATGAATTTTAATTGTAACTACAGATTTCCATGCAGCCTGAGTTGTTAAACAGTGGTAAAGCCAGCTACAGCTACCATGTATATCACTCATAAAGGTATAAGAACGCGAGTCAATTCCCAACTTCATAATATCAGCTGACAACCAATTTTGTTCTAGACAAAATTTTAACATTTCCTTACCAAACATTGTACCTGGGTGCGCATTAAAGTCTCCTAACACATACATAGTCCAATATTCTCATTATCTACTATTGCAGATATTTCACTTAAACACTCAACAAATTCTACGAGATTGTTAGCTCGTCCGTAGGCATATACACATTAAAAAATAACATGAACCGATCCGAAACGCATACTTTAATAGCAATAATACGCTCACTCATACACGGAACTACAGTTACAGAGTCAAACACTTTGTTTTTCCGTAGTAAGCCGACATCGCCATAAGGTCGTCCTCGCAATATTCCTTTGCTTGTATCAACCGCGGACTTCCCGAAAAAACAAAAATCCTTATTTACTTGACCCAAGTCAGGAATCTCATGGGGCAGAAGCCATGTATCCTGAAGCGCAATTATATCCGCCCTTTCACTCAAAGACTTTACAAAGTCTGCAGATCTTTTAAAAGATTTACAATTAAAACTTATCAACTTGATAGTTGTATTGTCCCCAGCATCATTATTCATCATTTTTCTTCAATAAAGATAGGTTACTCGATTTAGTTTCATTTAAATTACTCGGCTTATTAAACCTAATAAATCTGCGGAAAGATACTCCAGTGGGCCATAGGTTTTCATCCATAAACACAGGTAACTTATTCTTTGGAATCATAAATTTGTAAGCTCCATAGTCTTTTTTGAATTTCATATTTACTTTCTCTTGTCGCACTTCAGTGTTAGTTTTACATTTAATATAATTCATTATGTCATCAATCTCGCAGCTGTTATCAACGTTATAAATATAAAACGGGATTTTTATATTTGCTGCTTTAAATTTGCAGTCTCCGTGTATATCAGCTTTGCCTTTTAAACCTATAAATTTACTTTTTACGCGCTTGTTTCGCACTAATATCCAGTCGTCTTTTTCCATTTCATTATATAAATAATCATTGGTATCGCCCGCCCCCGTATTACGAACTTGTTCAATCACTGGGTTATTCGATGAAACCACAGTATCCTCTTTATAAGACAAAGGGGTGTGATATTTCTGCATTTCCGTCGACATAACCGTGGTGCGGGCTTCCATTCGTACTGGTTGTGATGAAAGTGGCATATCTTCAATACTCGCTTTACCGTATGATCGCATTAAGATAGATAGGAGCGGGTCAGTGTTATGATCTTCTGTCGACGTTGCGGGCGAGTCAGAAATATACGTATAATTCAATAACATATTATTGACTTTATGATTACAGTTAGAATTCTCAGCGGTCGTTAACTCGTCATATTCAGATTGATTTGGTGAAATATGAGTTATACCACAAGGATCACCCGCACATTCTGAACTGTTTTTTCGACATATTCCTCTTCGTTTCGTATTAACATTGTCGCTTGTCACGGGTGATTTATTATTTAGCATATCCTTTGTAGCATAAGTTTCCTTAATAACTGAAATGTCATTCTGCAACCTAATCATATCTTTTAAGAGTCTAGTCGCGTCGATGTGATCAAATGTGACTGGCGGAAGACGTTGCAAATCTCTTGCCACAAAGATAGGTAAAAGCTCAGGATCCGTCTCTTTCATAGCACAAATAATGTCCGGGATTTCTCGCTTACTTTTGGCATCTCCTTTTCTAATCACATAGTGCTTATTCGTCTTCAAGGACTCAAAAAGTAATTTCTTAGCCTCTGTGATTTCGTTACTTGAAAATGCCATAACGCACAGACGAGTAATACTACCTTCGTCCATTACTTCCGCTTTGTTTTGTACAAAAGCCAGTAACTCGCATATTACAATATTACAATTGCTACATTGCACGGTATTCACAGCCATATTTTATAAATACGATTATAAGTTCCAGAAGTTATTGACTGGAGCAACGATGACATTCTGGTGGCAGTACAGGGATGTGAATATCACCAAAGGAGTTGGCGCACCCAAGATTTTATCAATGACGGAGGTGTAACGAATAATGAAATTATTTGCTGTAAGTTTCACCCCAAAGGAGGAATGTTGGCTGTAAGTATATCTTAAAATATTTCATTTAGTATGCCAAGAAATGAACCAGTCAATCCCAAATATATATTAAAAGAGTTGACTATAGGTAGGTAGCTGGTATCCTGTTACCAACTGCCGCCAAACATCTGTTCCCGTCTGAAGAGTACAGAATCAGTATGATGACTGAAATGCATTCCGTCTTAGTCCTCAGAAGTGATAATGCATTTACAGTCTTCTTTGCTTAAAGTTAGTTGCACGTGTCCATGCGCTGCGGTGTTCGTTTACAATCAGGCAGGCTAAGTTTAATTATCTATTTATGTGTATGTATGTCTAAAATCCAAAATATATCACAACAGTTATCGCAAATCTACGCTAGACGTAGGCCTCCTCAAAGCACTTTCCTGATCATCTTCGTGTCGTGTGTGTCAAGTTGCCACTCGACCTGGTAAGCCTACGCCTATACTACGCTTTCCAGTCACTGCCACATGAGAACCTTTCAACTACGCCTATACTAAGCTTTCCAGTCACTGCCACATGAGAACCTTTCATCTACGCCTATACTACGCTTTCCAGTCACTGCCACATGAGAACCTTTCATCTACACCTATACTACGCTTTCCAGTCACTGCCACATGAGAACCTTTCAACTACGCCTATACTACGCTTTCCAGTCACTGCCACATGAGAACCTTTCATCTACGCCTATACTACGCTTTCCAGTCACTGCCACATGAGAACCTTTCATCTACGCCTATACTATGCTTTCCAGTCACTGCCACATGAGAACCTTGCATCTACACCTATACTACGCTTTCCAGTCACTGCCACATGAGAACCTTTCATCTACACCTATACTACGCTTTCCAGTCACTGCCACATGAGAACCTTGCATCTACACCTATACTACGCTTTCCAGTCACTGCCACATGAAAACCTTGCATCTACACCTATACTACGCTTTCCAGTCACAGCCACATGAGAACCTTTCATGTACACCTATACTACGCTTTCCAGTCACTGCCACATGAGAACCTTGCATCTACACCTATACTACGCTTTCCAGTCACTGCCACATGAGAACCTTGCATCTACACCTATACTACGCTTTCCAGTCACTGCCACATGAGAACCTTGCATCTACACCTATACTACGCTTTCCAGTCACAGCCACATGAGAACCTTGCATCTACACCTATACTACGTTTTCCAGTCACTGCCACATGAGAACCTTACATCTACACCTATACTACGCTTTCCAGTCACTGCCACATGAGAACCTTTCATCTACACCTATACTACGCTTCCAGTCACTGCCACATGAGAACCTTGCATCTACACCTATACTACGCTTTCCAGTCACTGCCACATGAGAACCTTTCATCTACACCTATACTACGCTTTCCAGTCACTGCCACATGAGAACCTTGCATCTACACCTATACTACGCTTTCCAGTCACTGCCACATGAGAACCTTGCATCTACACCTATACTACGCTTTCCAGTCACTGCCACATGAGAACCTTGCATCTACACCTATACTACGCTTTCCAGTCACTGCCACATGAGAACCTTGCATCTACACCTATACTACGCTTTCCAGTCACTGCCACATGAGAACCTTGCATCTACACCTATACTACGCTTTCCAGTCACTGCCACATGAGAACCTTGCATCTACACCTATACTACGCTTTCCAGTCACTGCCACATGAGAACCTTGCATCTACACCTATACTACGCTTTCCAGTCACTGCCACATGAGAACCTTTCATTTACACCTATACTACGCTTTCCAGTCACTGCCACATGAGAACCTTTCAACTACGCCTATACTACGCTTTCCAGTCACTGCCACATGAGAACCTTTCATCTACGCCTATACTACGCTTTCCAGTCACTGCCACATGAGAACCTTTCATCTACGCCTATACTATGCTTTCCAGTCACTGCCACATGAGAACCTTTCATCTACACCTATACTACGCTTTCCAGTCACTGCCACATGAGAACCTTGCATCTACACCTATACTACGCTTTCCAGTCACTGCCACATGAGAACCTTGCATCTACACCTATACTACGCTTTCCAGTCACTGCCACATGAGAACCTTTCATCTACACCTATACTACGTTTTCCAGTCACTGCCACATGAGAACCTTGCATCTACACCTATACTACGCTTTCCAGTCACTGCCACATGAGAACCTTTCATCTACACCTATACTACGCTTTCCAGTCACTGCCACATGAGAACCATTCATCTACACCTATACTACGTTTTCCAGTCACTGCCACATGAGAACCTTTCATCTACACCTATACCACGCTTTCCAGTCACTGCCACATGAGAACCTTTCATCTACACCTATACTACGCTTTCCAGTCACTGCCACATGAGAACCTTGCATCTACACCTATACTACGCTTTCCAGTCACTGCCACATGAGAACCTTGCATCTACACCTATACTACGCTTTCCAGTCACTGCCACATGAGAACCTTGCATCTACACCTATACTACGCTTTCCAGTCACTGCCACATGAGAACCTTGCATCTACACCTATACTACGCTTTCCAGTCACTGCCACATGAGAACCTTTCATCTACACCTATACTACGCTTTCCAGTCACTGCCACATGAGAACCATTCATCTACACCTATACTACGTTTTCCAGTCACTGCCACATGAGAACCTTTCATCTACACCTATACTACGCTTTCCAGTCACTGCCACATGAGAAACTTTCATCTACGCCTATACTACGTTTTCCAGTCACTGCCACATGAGAACCTTGCATCTACGCCTATACTACGCTTTCCAGTCACTGCCACATGAGAACCTTTCATCTACGCCTATACTATGCTTTCCAGTCACTGCCACATGAGAACCTTGCATCTACACCTATACTACGCTTTCCAGTCACTGCCACATGAGAACCTTGCATCTACACCTATACTACGCTTTCCAGTCACTGCCACATGAGAACCTTGCATCTACACCTATACTACGCTTTCCAGTCACTGCCACATGAGAACCTTGCATCTACACCTATACTACGTTTTCCAGTCACTGCCACATGAGAACCTTGCATCTACGCCTATACTACGCTTTCCAGTCACTGCCACATGAGAACCTTTCATCTACGCCTATACTACGCTTTCCAGTCACTGCCACATGAGAACCTTGCATCTACACCTATACTATGCTTTCCAGTCACTGCCACATGAGAACCTTTCATCTACGCCTATACTACGCTTTCCAGTCACTGCCACATGAGAACCTTTCATCTTGATCGATGTCGGCTTTTAGAGCGGTTTAGCCGACCAATCGTTATTTCAGCTCACTAGTCTGCTGGGTTACGTATAATTATTCCAGATACGCTAGGCCAAAAATGTCCTTAATGATTATAGCTGTGCTATAAGGCATATAGTACATCATTAATCAATTTTCCTCACAAAGTTTTTAAAAGAGGTGCTGTTTGAGGGTCAGTATTAACATTTTTATCTGCATAGAGTTATAACAATATTCATCCCTTCATTTCGTCTCGTATAAGCTGACAATGGGAAAAGCAAGAAAAATATTCTGGCTTCCAATAGATGGCAGTATAAACATCAACTTAAAATTATCTCGTATATTCCAGATGTGAAAGTGGCGTCGGAAAACAGCGTGTAAGGCGATGATACATCTACGACTAGCTCTGCATTCTCCTACACTGCGAAACGTGGCGATTACGGCACTACTTCCTTATAACAACTACCGCCTTGTCCAGAAGTGAATTGTAGCGGGCTAGTAGAGAAAAAGAAATAATTTGAGAATGCGAACTATTATGATGACGATCTTTGTCTGCCATGTAACAGCGTGTAAGAGAATCCATCACACAGATGGTGATGTAAATAAAATATCTCGTACTGCGACCGGCAATCCGCATACCAAGTGTATGTATGTAGGCGATTGCAGAAAGGGAACAATATCCATCCGTTACCGTTACAGCGAAGTCCACGGCTGAACATACGAGTAGGCCTCCTCATAGCTTGCCTCACAGTGGACATTTGGCATAGTTGTACGGTTGGCACGCTTGGCAAGCGGGTTGGCAGCCGTAGTTTGTTTTTATGTTTGTCGTTACTAGGGAGCTGCCGCACATCTCCCGATTTGTTTCTGATAATATGGAATAGCGGATATTCTTACACTGAAACTACCAGGTAAAACAAAATCAATGGTCAAATTTCAAAACAAGATATTTGAAAAATCCATAAAAAGGATAAAAAAATAACATACTTGCAGCTAGGTACAGAAAACAGGACAGCTGAGATCCACGATAGCACACAATGTAAATCTATTACTAGTTGTTACTGCCAATGCAAAAAAGGAGATATACCCCCCTGCTCAGTCACAGCTGTGGAATGGAGCCCAACGGGAAACTCTTATGTTATGTGAGTATGTTTTCTCTAATAATACCATCTACAAAAACTTATAATAAAAACTTAAAGCCTATTGCTGTCACATTGTTTTAGAAGGGATTTGAGAGAATTTATTATACGTTGTAGAACCATACCGCAGCCGTATAATGGTTGTAGAACTAATGGGTTGAATCAACCAGAGAAGAACTACTCTCTCACAGCATACCAGTGTAAAGTAGCAACTTCTTGCTGTTATATATTACTTATGGTGAGAACCGGAGACCCTTTTTACTGGAAACGAAACATTCCATCGTAGTCCTCTGAGGTGACAACGCATCTGTATTTTAATTCTGAATCGGGAAAATATGTTTTTATAGAAGAGGAGGCATTCGAGCATGCGGCTCACCTGATGGTAAGTGTCAACCGCCGCTCATGATCATCTGCAACACCAGAGGAATTGCAAGTGCATTGCCGGCTTTTTAAAAACGAGTAAGTTTATTTCTCAAAGGTCATTAAGTAAGATGAAGATGTATATGAACCACACACAGCCTCTTACAATAACAAGCAGAGGTAGATTCAAGTCAAATTGCATCCCAGAACCAACACGATATAGCACCCTAATTGTTTTGTAAAGTCACTTATTTTAAAAAAAATATAACGTAACGTAAACACTCACGCCTGTCCCCCAGAGGGATAGGCAAAGGCTACAGACTTCCATTTGGCATTAATACAGTACCAAACTCTAAATTCAAAGTGCCACCCTGTTAAAATACAATATAATAATACTGTTTTGCAACCAGTACAATCTACATTATTTTTAGGTATAATTATTGATGGTAAATTGAACTGGAAAGAACATGTAGATAAAGTGTGTAGTAAACTCGATAAATTTGTATTTGCTCTTCGCAAACTAAGACTCACGGCCAGTAAAGAAACAGTCCTCAGAGCATATCATGGGTACGTCTCTTCAGTACTTCGCTATGGATTAGTTATATGGGGTAATTCAGTGAATATAGGCAGGGCGTTTAAAGCACAAAAAAAATGTATTAGATCCATGTGTGGCGCTAATTATTTAGATCATTGTAAGCCATTATTTCAAAAATTAAAGATACTTCCACTGCCCTGTCTCTATATTTTTGAAATATGTTTGTTCGTTAAGAGATATTCCTATCTATTTCCAATAAATGAACGTGTTTCCAAGAGGATCCAAGACAGAAACCCAAACCAATTGGTGGCACCATCCCAAAGACTTTATTTGTATAGTCGTAATGCCCACTGCATGGCAATAACAATCTTTAATAAGCTGCCACCACAGATTAGACAGTTGCCTATAAATAAATTTAAACGTGCAATATTTTCTTGGCTCTTGGATATGTGTTTTTATTCTGTTAACGATTTCATAGATTATAAATTTATAAATTATACATAAATGAATGCTCCCAATATTGTATTAATAATAATAATAATATATATCTACAATTGATAATTCCTATATAATGTTATAAATGTATAAATTGTCTAAATAAGAACTATAAAGTGTTAAATATTATTCTAATTGTAATATTTCTACACCGGATACGGTAGTATATGTGAATCATTCTATAATTTCAACATCTGTAATTACCATATACTAAGAAATAAACGATATTCTATTCTATTCTATTCTATTCTATTCTATCTTTATTCTATTCTATTCCTGACACACCTCTCACGCCTCCTCCACAGCCATATATCTACGCTAACATGCTCGTCGGTTAAGGGTACTTCTAATTTAGCATGTTTTCAATTTATCGCCAATTTGGTCGATAAACTTTCGCCTAGGACGTCCCTTTCCGACTCTGCCGTTCACTTCTGCAACATAAATTAAAAAAAGCAAATTTAAAAAATAAAGTCTTAAAATATATATTAATCATAAAAAGACAAAATTCCTAATCGGTTTTGAAATATGCTCACTTTAAAAAAATCCCCCCTCAAATTCCCTACTACATACTACCCTAGGCCCCAGCTTCGTAATCCATATTGCAGATGTTAGCCATGAACAGGACTTCCCCTGACAACACGTGGCTTATCTAAATAGATGATTTTTTTGTAGAATAATGGTGACAATCGAGCACACAGTCCACCTGATAGTGAGGGGATGCTGTGGCCCATAGACATCTACATTTAACCTCGATTAGGATTTCCAGATGTGTTGCCACCCCTGAGGACTAAAATGGAAAGCTTCGATTACAGTAAAACTGGTCTCCGGTTCTCTACACTCACTATACGAAACATAGTAGCATTAAGCTGCTATTTCACGCTGGTATTCTGTGAGAGCGTGGTCCTTCCCCGGTCGAGCCGACCTATTCAAGCTACAACCTAAATATAGCTGCAGCGTGGCTGTACCACATATAACGTGTAAAATGAATTGACTCACTTAGGAACTAGAGCCATTTCTCTGGACAGCTGAATTTCTTTACCTTTATCTGCTACCACTATCATGACAGTGCTTTACAAATCCACCGCCGAACATAGACTTCTCACAAGTGATGCTATAAAGCACGGCTTAAAGCCACCTGCATCCATCGGTTTAACTGCCATGTATTTGCAATATCTACCATATTTTACAAATATGTTTTCAGAGGCTGCTCTCGTGGGATGATAAACTCCTACACTCGCAATAGTGAACCAATAAAACGTAGAAGAGTTGGCGTTGAGGCCATACTATACATGAGGGTATCACCTGACGCTCGATATATAGCCGTCGCGGCAGTTCATACAGACGCTGTCCATTTACTATGCTGGCCTTCACTCGAGCCATGTTTTGTTATGAATACAGGAAAAACTATTAACGTATGTGCAAATTCCTATTTTTTGCGAAATAAGTAGCATGTTCTAATAAGTAGCATGTTCTAATAAGTAGCATGTTCTAATAACTAGCATGTTCTAATAAGTAGCATGTTCTAATAAGTAGCATGTTCTAATAAGACAGAATGATATGCATTATAAGTTAAAAAAAAACTTTAATAAAAAGCAACCGATTTGAAGCAACTAAAAATAATAAAATAATTTCAAATTCCGAAGTCGGTGCTAGACATATTTATAAAAGAAATAAAACCCTGAAATAAAACTTGTGAACTGAATGTGACAAATGAGCACACAGTCCACCTGATGGTAAGTGGTTGCTGTGGCCCATAGACATCTACATCTATCCTCGATCAAGAATCAAAATATCGCCCGTGAGGATCAAGATGGAATGCCTCGTTTCCAGTTACGAGGGTTCCAGGAGCAAGGGCTCACTACACTAACCATACAAAACACAGCAGCGTCAAGGTGCTATTTTACGCTGGTGTAACCACGCCCCAACGCTGTATTCAAACGTGGGACCGATGACTTACCTTATCGATGATTTGCATTGTTCCCTGGTTGTGGCGTGATATAAGCGTGTGGCTTTATCTTCATGCGCGTAGCGGATTTGCGTAGATCTAAGTGAATCGAGTTACGCCACACTGGTATTCTGTGAGAGTGACCGACCCATTCATGCTACAATATAGCTGCAGCGTGGCTCTACCATGTATTACGCTGAGCATCCTAGCCCAAGCTACCCTTCCTGAGCGTGGCTGCTCAGGCTGCCCCGCGTATTCTGGGGAGGGGGGTGAAAATTCCGCTCGAGACAAAACTCGTACGAATTAAAACAATCGTTTCATGGACCACATCCAAATTTCTACAGACTCCGTTCTACAACAGCTCCCATTCGCAGAGATCATGATGCTTGGTGATTTTATCGCCCACCACGCTGAATACCTTGGTTCCCGTTTAACCGATCATACGGCTAGGTCTATTTATGACTTTGCTTTGGCATATGGTTAGACACAATTGGTTACCTCGCCTACGCGCAGATGCCCGATGTGGAGGATCATGTACCTTCCCTATTGGACCTTCTGCTTACCTCTGATCCATACCGATGTCAGGTCTCCGTCGCTGCCTCTCTTGGCTCCTCAGACCATTGTCTGATCCGAAGTACAGTGCCACTCACACTCCCATAGTGGTTGCGTTCTGCAGGTTACCGCCGTGTTTGACATTGGTCAGCCGATCAGGATGGGATGCGATCTTTTTTTGCATCTTACCCTTAGGGGTGGGCTTGTTTCTCGCCGGATGATCCCAGCGTTGTTGCTGATTATGTCGCTAAAGTGGTGCTACAGGAAATAAAACTTTTTATTTCATCATCTGTGGTACCAATCGGAGGCAGAACCCACCTATGGTTTGGTCGCTCCTGCAAAATTGCATTACGCCATAAGCAAGAGGGCTACCAGACCTAGTTTCACTTATCGTATGGGCTCACGCATCGACGTCTCGAAATGCAAATACCAGGGCTCTTAAAAATAAATATCATTCCGCCTCTAGATCCTTCAAAAGACTCATTGCCAAGGCAGAGTAGGAGCATATCGGCAGAATTAGCGAGAAACTAGTTCGACTTTCTTCGGGAACACGTGCATTCTGGTCTCTCACTAAGGCTATCCAAGGGAACTTTTGTCAGCCATCTCTCCCATCTCTGCACAGGGAGGACGACTCACTGACCCATGCCGCAAAGGACAAAGTCGTTTTGCTCGCTTCTCTCTTTGCATTCAACTCGACTCTTAATGACGGGGGAACACACCGCCGACCATCCCGTGGTGTGAGTACTCCATGCAGGACGTGCGGTTTATCCAGCAGTCGGTGCGGAGAGCACTCCTTTCGCTGGACGTCAACAAGTCGCGTGGGCCTGATGGCATCCCTCCTGTTATGCTGAAGACGTGTACTCCAGAGTTGGCACCGGTTTTAACGTGCCTTTTCCGATACTCCTATTCCCTAAGCGTAGTCCCTAACTCATGAGAGACAGCTTTAGTACACCCGATTCCTAAAAAAGGCAACCGCCCTGATCTGTCTTACAACAGGGCAATCGCTATCACCTCCTCCTCCGGTTAAGATCCATCATTTTAAATGAAAAGCGCGGGAATCGTTGCAGCAAAATTAATAGAACTTTGTTTCTGAGAAATTTAAATATGTTAATTTTTTTTATATTATTTTTCTACAGGTTTAACAATATTTTATACAATTCGTTTATTAATATATTTAATAATTAATGATTATAATTTATTTTCTATTTATAATTTATATGAGGATTAATAGGAGTAATTTTAGCCAATTCTTCTATTGATGTAACATTACATGATACTTATTATGTTGTAACTCATTTTCATTATGTTTTATCTTGAGCAATTGGCTTATGGAGTTCTATTTTTAAATAAATTTGCTTTTCAGAAACATATAACACGGATTCGTTACATTTTTAAATTTCGAGAATCTGAAGACTTATTTAGTGATCTAAGTATGTTGCAAACCGGTAACATTCATTGCTGTGAGGACGACAGCACTGGTGATGCTCTGGCCATGCCACTATTTCTCGGGAAAACGTCGCCGAGTACCGGAACAAACTTTTGTCTGAAATCAAGACTTTGTTCAACAAAGTCTTGGACTGGGGCGACTAAATCTAGTCGAGTTTAATCCCCAGAAGGCACAGGTTTGCGCGTTAACCGTTAAAAAGAACCTCTTTGTCGTATCTCCTCAGTTTCAAGGCACTCTCATTGTTGCCTCAGCCAGTATCGGAATCCTCGGCATCGACGTATCGAGTGATGTGCAGTTTTGTGGTCACTTGGAAGAGAAAGCCAAAATGGCCTCTAAAAAGCTTGGCGCGCTCAACAGAGTGGGACAGTATTTCATGCCGGCACACCGCTTGCAACTTTACAAGCCGTAGGTTCGGCCGCACATGGAATACTGTTCCCTTCTCTGGGCTGGGGCTCCCCAGTGCCAGCTTCTTCCATTTGATCGCCCCAGCGCAGAGCCGTTAGAATCATTGAGAACCGAGCTCTTTCCGATCGCCTTGACTTACTGGCACTGCGAAAAGATGTTGCATCTTGCGTATTTTATCGCATATACCACAAGGAGTGCTCTGACTGATTCCAGCTGCACAATTTCACCATCGCACATCGCGACAAAACTCGCGATACCATCCATACCAACTGGAGGACTGGCGGTCCACAACCGTGCGATTTAAAACAAGTCTTCTTCCTTGTACCACTTTCTTGTAGAATCGATTACCACCAGTGATTTTTCCGGATCGACCAAGAAAAGAGTCTACTCCTTTTTAAAAGACCGGCAACGCATCTGCAACTCCCCTGGTGTTGCAGTTGTTCTTGGGCGGTGATAATCACTTACCATCTGGCGAGCTGTATGCTCGTTTGGTTATAAAAAAAGAGACCAAAAACCCTTAAACAACCTTATTTAATAAAAAAAAAGAATCGGTTCTCTCCAGTTCGCACGATGACGCATAGAGTCGAAATAAAATTCTCTACCTTTTCTGAAATTGGAAAATGAAAAACTATTTTCATGCATGCTTGACACAATGTTTTATGAAAATAGTCTTTGGCTGTATAGAAATTTCTCCCAAGTCGAGAAAAAATTGCGCCAACCGCTAAGCTAGGATTGAACACGCTCACTGTACTCCGACTTGTAATTCGAAAAAAATAAAGAATTACTGTTGTGACCGACTCTATTGAGTGAAGTAAATAAAATAAATATAGTAAAAAGTACGTACAAATAAGATCAAAGAAGAAACAGAGCTGTGACCAGTTTTTTCTTTTGACAAGATAATAGTCTAGTATTTCTTGTTCCCAAGTTTTTTTTTATCTCAGCAAAACAATGTTGTCACTATGTACGTTGTCTAAATTATAAAAATTCGCATTGCATATTACAGGTTATATCAATGATATTACAAGCGTTTTCTTATAATATATATATATATATATATATATATATATATATATATATATATATATATATATATATATATATATATAATATGTAACGTAATTAACGCACACCCTCAGACACCCCAATTAGTATATTATGTTATACACATTTTTATGCACTGATTATTTATCAAATTAGTTATACTAATTCCGGAAGATGTGGTCACAGTACAAATCCACGAACGAAGACTTTAACGTGCTTGAAATAAAGTTCATTTTTCATTATTTTTATTGAATGACAGAATTAGTAATAATACAAATAAAACTGGACTCTTAAAAGTCTTATTGCCTTAAGTTACGGTCCATTTCAGTTTGTTTTGACTGTACAGATTTAGTGTGACTGTAATTTACGTAGTTTTAATTATTTTTGGGATAAAAAATTACCTATATTAAAAATGATAGGAATCGATTCAGTAAACGATTCTGAACAAACTAATTACTCAAAATGCGTTAATTAAGTTACATGTAGTGTATATATATATATATATATATATATATATATATATATATATATATATATATATATATATATATATCAAAGAATTGCTCGTTTAAAGGTATAGATAGATAGATTGACACATGGTGATCCGAATATAGAAAATACAAAAGCATGGCATGAGTGCGATTGACTCACAGCCTCTACGATATAATGACGTCACAACCAATCACAAGTCTTTTTTCATTCGAAAATTTTGCTATTTTTCATTTATTTATTTAACAATTTATGTACACACAAATTAATGATACATTTTATTACGTTATGTAACGTTTTATTAATAGTTACAAAAATGGAATTGGTAATTAAAAAACATAATATATAAATGTATTTCAAATGAATGATTCTTTCATTTATTTTGTGGCAAAAATGTTAATGCAATATCTCTATTAATTAGTGAATTAATTACGTAGAATAGTAATAGTTGTAGTGATTACTTAAGAATTCTAGTAATTAATATTAATAAGTGTTTATTGTTTCAGACTATAACCTGGCATCCCTGGCGCAGCGCATTGCTCGCCACAGGGATAGATACCACCGATACTTACGCACGAGTCGCGTTATTCGACGTCCCAACTGAAAAGACCAGAGATTATTTTCTCAGTAATAACCAGTACCACCTCGACGAAATGCTTTTCAGCCGTATGACTGGTGAACTGGTGGTCAGCTTGTGGAATCCTGGTATAATTTTTTTATAAATTTATTTACCTACCATTCAATTATACAATATTAATTACTTTTTACCAACATCGTTACTGCCTATTAAAGTCATATTTAAGGGGATTTTGCCACAGCTGCCACGCTCGTAAAGCGGTTGGCGATCTCATTCATCTCATTTATTTATTCTTAGTCCTTATTAAGAAGACGCTGCTGCCTGTCTCCTCAATCGCTGCCTTCTGTTGCCTGTTACGATACCCTCGGGACGCTGTGGGATAGTGGATAGTGGATATTCTTACATCGTTTTGGCTTTTATACTTCATCTGACTATATTTAACGGCTATTCTGAGAAAAGGATCAGTCCCCTTGTTTAATTTCTAAGTTACAAATTAAGGCGAGGATTTCCTCGTTTCTACGCAGAAACAGAAACAGAAACTTTTTTATTCAATGTAGATTATAACAATACTTATTGAAAGTCACTTTTTTCATTTACCACTGGTTCGCAAAAAAAACCTCTGTCCTGGGAAGAACCAGCAAGAAACCCAGCGGGACTATTTTTTTTTCAATAATAGCTTACAATAATGTTTACAATTAACAACACAAGACAAATTAGAAATAGCTTGGTAGCGATCACCCTTCCCAGGGGTTATTATCATACATAAATTCCTTAATATTATAATAACCCTTTTTATACAAATTTAGTTTAATAACATTTTTGAACTTCGTGTATGACAAATTTTGTATATTTTTTGGGATTTTTCTAGCACAAGGTAAACGTGTGACCTTCGGTGGATAAAAACTTGCTTTATTTTAAGCATTTTGCTTATTATCAGGAAATAATGAACCTATATAATAGTGTAGCCGATAATGAATCTAATTTAATAACATGCCTTTCATGATATTATTGAAAAATATTATATGGTTATCCCCTAAAAAACGAGAACTTTAGCGTGAAAATTTTTGGCATTAAAATATCTCGATTAACAGGAAGTATTTTAAAAATCAAAAAAAAATATTTCTCGTGCACATATTATTGTATGAAGTATCAAATCTCGCCCGTCAAAATCGTATAAAATACGGTGTGTGGGTCGGCTCAACCGGGGTAGGACCACGCTCTGACAGAATACCAACGTAATGTAACATCCAAAGGCTGTTGTGTTTCGTATGGTGAGGTAGAGACCCGGAGACCCTGAGGATGATGTATATGTCTGACGGTCACAGTTCCACTTATCATCAGGTGGACTGTGAGCTCTTTTTTCTTCCTTATTCTATAAAAAGAAACCTGTAAAAAAGTAAAGTAAAGTTACAAACTTTATAATTTCTTTATCCCCGCGGGAATCATACCCGGGTTAATCGCGTGTCGTGGAATTAACAGTGAGCGTTTAATGATGAACTACCACGGCTCTAATTAGAGTAGCAATTGGAATCAATCATGCATATACGTAGAAAAGTATTGACAACACATGGCATATATACGCTTATTAAGACACGAAATGTCGACGTAAACGCTACGCATTAATAAAAATTGCTATTAGCAGTGCTTGCTGATCGACTTCATTCAATATTAGCACTGGTAGACCGCACGAATCGTCAGATGAAACACCTGATCAATATACAATCAACTGTAACTACGAATGTATCTTAATTAAAGCGACAGTTTCGATACCGAGCATGGATCTCTCATTGATTAAATCCTCAATTATGCCTAAGTTGTACTCAATATTCGGATTTAGTATACTGGTAAAAATATCGATGAATGCAGGTGGCTCAGTGCTGAGCTTTTTTTTGGGGAGGCCTATATTATGCAGTGGAACTACAAAGTACTCATATAATGATTTCTAATATTTTCGAAAACACTGAACATCAAATTAAACTCATTTAACGGACTATGTCGCGTTCGAATACACTTATTTAGCTTATTTTTAGTTTTCCACGTTTTCTATTTAACTCCAAGAGATTACTTAATTCCTTACAAGAAACTAATAACCAAAAGCTGCCGCTAGTCAGAGCTCAATATCGTGTTCATAAACCATCGAAACTTCGGGAGATAAAAATATATTAAATAAGTGTAATTAAATGCGATGAATTTCGTAAACATCATATAAAATTTAAGACTGTAACATTGTAGCTGCTGTAAAATTAAGGGATGGTAATGAAATTACTGTTTTGCTATGTCATTGGTTTAAATAAAACATAAAAATATTTAAAATACTAAATACAAGTTGTGGTGTCAGCACAACTTGATACGGATTAAATGAAGAAATAACGAGTCGTGGTAGCCCAAGGGCTTAGCGCTCGTTGTAAACTTCACGGTACACGAGCAACCCAAGTTCGATCCCCGCCAACACCAATGAACTGTTAACTGCAACTTACCACGTGATGACCTTGGAACTGAGACGTGGTCCTTCCCTGTTGGACGTATGAGGACGCTCAAAGTTGCTCAGCGAGCTATGGAGAGAGCTATGCTCGGGGTTTCTCTGCGTGATAAACTTAGAAAAGAGGATATTTGCGATAGAACCATAGTGACCGAGATAACCCAACGGGTTAGTAAGCTGAAGTGACTGGGCCGGCCATATAACTCGAAGAGCCGACAACTGTTGGAGAAAAAAGGTTCTCGAGTGGTAGTCGCGTACCGGTAGGCGAAGTGTAGAGCGAGCCCCTCTAGATGGAGAGACGACCTGGTAAGACATGCAGGATGTCGATGGATGCAGGTGGCTCAGGATCGTACCAGGTGAACGGAGTATAAGCGTATTACACGAATGTTTTACTTTTTCTTTTCTTTTATATTAACAGAATTATGAAATTGATCTATCAATAAATACTACTAATTTGAAATAAACTTTCGGTACTGAAAAAATAAAAACAAAAATATTAAACTGAATAAATCGATCAATTAAAAACTATCGAAATTAAAATAATACGCCCCCAATTGGTAGTATCGTAAAATATCTGTGCCATAGGCTTCTATTCCGTTCACCTGATATACCCTTATTTTTGTTATTATCTTTGATTGAGAATCTTTTTAAAATTTCACATAGTCTCCTCATAGATCGCCCTCGGGACGACGACAGATTCTCTGGCTCTCTCGCTGCCACATAACAAACATTAAAACAATATCTAAAACTAGAGCCGTGCTGGCTCAGGGACTAAGTGCTCGCTCTAAATTTGGCACAGTACGCGAACAAACCGGGTGGATCCTCACCGGCGCCAACAAAATAATTAATTGTAATTTTGAAGTGTAAAGTAACAGTAATAGTGAAGTAAAACATTGTGACGAAACCTGATGTCTGATAATTAAGAAAAAATATTTCGAAGGCATGTGAAGTTCGCCAAAATGCTTAGGGGCAGAGCAGCGGACATTTCCTTGCCCTAAAAATCTCTCGAAAATGAGAGAAGGCCTGTGCCTGTGGGACGTAAATAGGCTGTTACTTTAATTTACTTAAATATCTAACGTAAGATTAGTACAAAAAAGATATACTCTTTAAAACTGGTGTTTGAAGTAGGCTTATGTTGTGTCAGAAATATTCGATTAATTAAAGTTTATTCAAGCACGAAAGCCAATAAAACTTCTTCGCGAAAATTTCATTCTAATTATAAAATCCCAGTCAAAAATATCTAGTTAAAGATAAAAAAGAAATAAAAATATGGTTAAAAAGCTATGACGCTCTGAGACATATAATAAGACAGGTACAAATTATAGGACATACATACATAAACACTCACGCCTGTCACAAAGAGGGGTAGGCAGAGACTACAGACTTCCATTTGGCACGATCCTGACACACCTCTCTCGCCTCCTTCACATCCATATACCTACGCATACATGCTCGTCGGTTAAGGATACTCCTAATTTGGCCCGTTTTCAATAAATCGCCAATTTGGTCGATAAATTTTCGCCTAGGACGTCCCTTTCCGACTCTGCCATTCACTTCTGCATCATAAATTTTCTTTGTCACTCTTTTCTCATTCATTCTTTCCACATGACCAAACCACCGAAGCATTCCTTTCTTAATCCTGGTCACAACATCATCTTGCAAACCACACTCTTCTCTTATTACACAATTTCTCACCCTGTCATTCAGATTCAGCCCTAACATACTCCTTAACGACCGCATTTCTACTGCGTTTATTCTAATCTCGTGCTTCTTCTGCCACACCCAACTTTCACTTATGGTATGGCTTTAACGTATGGTACGTTAAAGTGGGGACCAACACAGCATTGTGAATTGCCGTACGTGCCTTTTTTGACACATTTTGACTCTTCACAATAGAGTGCAAGGCCCCATTTACTCTATTTCCCGCATTCACTCGTCGTTCTATATCCTTATCATATCTCCCATCCCTGTCAAATACGCAGCCCAAATATACAAACTCATCTACTTGCTCGATCAACTCCCCTTCTATTACTTATTTCACAAATCGTTTTACTTTCTTCTCTTTCAAAAACCATAACCTTCGTCTTACTTGCGTTCACTTTCATACCCCTTTCTTTTAATGATCTGTTCATTAATGTAACCATCATTTGCAACTCAGCCGCCGACGACGCAAGAATAACTTGATCATCGGCGTACAAAAGGCATTTGATGGTTAACTCACCCATTCTTAATCCGCATTCTTCAACTTTCAAATTTTGCAAACAACTGTCCATAAATAGGTTGAACAGCCACGGGGAAGCCACACAGCCCTGTCTGACACCTTTATGGATGTCAAACCAGTCCGAGTAGACCCCGTTGATCCCAATACAAGCAGAGTCCCTATAAAGAGACTCCAATGCCTGTATCAAGCCAGCGCTCAACGCAAATGAGTTCAGTGTTTGCCATAGCACCTCCCTATCCACTCTGTCATAGGCCTTTACCTAGTCCATGAACGCACAAAAAACGTTTTGGTTTTTGGCCAAAAACTTCTCCGCGATCATGCGCATGGAAAAGACTTGATCTGTACATCCCATTCCCTTTCTAAATCCCCTTCAATCAGTACCTTAGCATACAGTTTTCCCACAATGCTAAGAAGGCTGGTGCCACGGTAGTTTTTACAGTCCTGC